ACATACATACACACACACACACACACACACACACACACACACACACAAACACACACACACACACACACACACACACACACACACACACACACACACATATAGCAGGTATATCAAGCGACGTGAGATGTTAAGAAATTAACAGCGTACATTTTAAGAATTATATTTACGTGTAGTCTTGCAATGTGGGGCGAAAAACGAAATGAAGCCGCTTTACCCTCTGTTACAATTCATGTTTCTGTGATGTGGCTTGTTTTCATTCCCGATAATATTATTGTTGAGGTTGTTTGCTGAGGTAGTTGTCGTTGTCACGGCTACTGTTATTTTCGATTTGAACTTTTATAAGCATTGTTGGAGGTTTGCATGAACGACATTTCCATGGACAGCAGATTAATTAAAGTAATTGGCAACAATTTCAAAGGAAAGAAATCGTATTAGAGTTCACCTCACAGCGCACAGAACACAATAAGTGGTATCGCAGAGATACAAATACGCCATCGGCGAACAACATGAAACTGCATGTACAAGCTGCTGGGAGAACAGCAAGTAATTATGGTGAAAGGTAGATCAATTTTTGTCCTAGATTTTAAAAAAAGACGGTTTAGGGGAAGAGGTGGGGCTGGAAGGAGAAACAAAGAGACGTCCTGTCCTACACATCATTGAATGAAAAGTTGAAGTCAAGCTGACTTTGTACAATTTTGATGTCAACGGAAAAGATTGAGCATAATTTTGTCATTGTTTTTGCGCATGATTCGTGAGCAGTCGTTTAAAAGGGAGACAGGACACGTTTATGCATTGGTATTATAGTGCGGTCAAAACTTCATGACGCAACTTATTGTCAAATATCTTCTCAGCTATCTGACATAAAATAAACTCATAGACTTTTGCACAATGACAGGTCAAAGGTCAACATTTTTTTATAAACACCTGTTAGCTGTTTTCTAAAAGATTTCTGAATAACTATCTATATCTGTAATTTTTAACCGTCAATTTGCCTATACATGTGCATCTTTTACCCCTCCCCCGCCCACCCCCTCTCCGAACCATTATCCCCATTATCGTCCCCACTAGTAAAAGCGACATAACTATCGATACAGCTACCACACATTTAGATAATGATAGTCTGATGGGCAGGGTCGAAGATCCGCCTCCTAAATTATCTAAAATGTGTTAAGAGAAACTAAGACATTTACAATCAATACAACTGCAAAAAAATTTTTTTTAATCCAATGGTAAGAGTTTTCCAGACGCTGAGAATGCTTTACGTCAATACAAGAATTAGTTTTTCTGTTTTAGCAAATATTAGTACAGATCTGTTGTTAATATCAACAACTGTTCTTTCTTTTAGAAATATATTCCGTCTTCAATCCAACAATTCATTTGATTATGAATTTGGCAACAATTGAACATTTTATATTTAAATCCAATCCGAGGAATGTTCGAACTGGGTTTTTTCCCAAGAAAACAGTGTAGATGAAATCGTAACAAACATCCAGTCAGAAGGCTACTACGCATTACGATGTTGTTGAAAGTAGAGATCTTGTTAGTGTGAACCATTCTAAATTGTGCACATTCAAGCAAGGTCAGTTTAAAAAAAAACACCAATAAACCAAGAGTCGAAATCTGTATCAGTCTTGATTCTCGCAGGGCAAAAATAATATTCCTGAAGCTCAATAGCATGTTAAACCCACATGCAAATTCCAAGTGTATTTAGCCCCGAGATAATTGAGATATAACAGTTATTATGGGTATAATAGAGAGAAAGAACTTTTTTGCAATAGTAGACTATATGTATAAACAATTGACGAGAGCAAAAGGAACGAAAAGCTTTTGTCTATAGATCCAAATAAGAGACGGGAGAGAGAGAGAGAGAGAGA